TATACATTTTCCCCCTTTTAAAAGAAAATCATTTGGAAGTAAGTATACTAGTTTGTGTAACTAGGTATACAAAATATTGCATAACATTGTTGTAATTAAATTTCCTTTGGGAAGAAAAAATGTAGGTTGATCTGATGTGTTTGACTCAATCACAAGGATTAGGTCCACATCCTAAACATTGAAAGTAATGATAAGTTTGGTAACTGAACTCTTTCTAATAGTCTTATTTTTATCTTGGATCCTTGTGTTTCATATATACAATTACCATAACAAATGTTTCTGCCCATATATGTCAGCTAAAAATGCTATTATTTTTTACAAATGAACATCACTCTTGGTTCTGTGTTAACTTACTTCTGTCTACTATTAGAGTGTCCCCTGCTGGATAAGTTGGGGACTGCATGTTGGTCCCAACTTGCCTTCGACTCTAAATCTATGCACAAGAAATGACTAAAAACAAAATGATCTGAAGTCTTCTGAGAATATACTGGCCCCATTTCAACATTGTTTTTCCTAGTTTTGGTGGATTAATCCAAAACTGTATGTTTGTGTGTTTCTTATGCTCTTTTACAGATACCCAGGGTGCAGTTCTTAACATTAGGTAGTGATTTTTGCTTATTTTCAGTTGTGTAGGATCCACGTAAAGAAAAATTCCAGTGATTAGCTGTAATACCTCCTAAGCCAAATACAAATTTAGTCCCTGATCCTGTAAAGACTTAGGTATGTGCTTAACTCTGTGCACTGCAAGCCGGTCCGTTGACTTAAATGGGACTACAGTAGAACCTCAGAGTTATGGCCTAACATGTCAACCACACACCTCATTTGGAACCAGAAGTATTCAATCAGGCAGCAGCAGAGACAAAACAAAAACCCCTCTGGAAATATAGTACAGTATGGTGTTAAATGTAAATTACTACAAACAAGGGGGGGGGAGCAGCATTTTTCTTCTGCATAATAAAGTTTCAAAGATGTGTTAAGTCAATGTTCAGTTGTAAACTTTTGAAAGAACAACCAACCGTAACATTTTGTTCAGAGTTAGGAACATTTCAGAGTTACAAACAACATCCATTCCCGTGGTGTTCGTAACACTGAGGTTCTACTGTACTTCCAGTGCATAAAGTTAAACAAATGCCTAGGTCTCTGCAGGATTGAGAAGCTAGTAGATAAACATATATTAAAAGAAATTTTTGAAACAGTTTTTGAAAAACCTTTAAAATGTCAGTATATTTATTCAGCCTCTCTCTTATTGGGGCTGCCATCTTAATTGTACTTTCAAACAGAGTCATAGTTGGATGACCAAGTATGAACTCAATAGAGGCTGACTGCCATTGACTTCACTGTTAGAACTCCATGCAGCCAGGAGGGCCAACCTACAGTGTGCCCACTGAGATCAGGGTCCAAGTCTGAAGAGACTTGAGACTTTTCAATTACAAAGCACTGGAAACATTCATAGTTGCTGACAGCTAAGTTCTAGATCTATATATATACACACACTAGAGAAAGTTAATGTGAGTTGGCTGAATTAACAGTTAAAAACATATACACAAAAAAGAAAATATAGACCTTCCCTATCAGTGGTTTTCATACTTACAAATTTTCTAAACGCCATCACAAGAAGGTAGATTTTCTCTCTCCTACTTTGCATTGCCAAATTGTTAAGATGGCAGTTTCCTTCTTTGTACTTAAAATATTTTAAAAAGCATTGTAATAAATTCCTTGTTTTCAGTCTCAGATGTTGTGTTTGGAATCTTTTATATTACACTGGGATTTTCCTTTAACAGGCAGAACATTTGTTGATAAAATGTATTAGACAGTAGGAACCCAATCCTTAAAAAACTTGAT